TCATGTTTGTGGTTTTTCATCATTATACAGTCTGTTTAAATAAATATTCAGAAACACATGCAGTGCTACTTTTCTTTTTTTCTGTTGAACTTTTATTAACCTGCAGATCAAAATGGAATGGCCTATACCCTAAATAAAAATAAATTATATTGGAACGCATCTCCAAAATAATCGCATACACAGATGCACGTTGCCATTACAGTGGATATACGATAATATCGTCATATTGCCCAGCCTTAATGCCGCCATCAAAAATTGTAGGACTATAGCCATGGCAGGTACTATTGAACATTGTCATTTCTCCTCATTCATAGATGTACAAGTGGACTGTCTCTATACGTCTTTCGAGTTGAATTAAATGATGCCAGTGCAAATTCACTCACTTCCTGCTTTCTCTGGTTTGTTTGAGCTGTTATTTTTTGTTCTCTGTATTTGTGTGTCACAGAATCAGTCTCTGTCTCTGCCACAGATCATCACTCTCTTCTCATCGGAATGAAAGCAGAGACTACCAGATGGGCACTCCACACACTAAAAGCTTCTCACTCTATCTGTAGTTGCACCAGTCACTGATGTATCTGCCTCAGGACAGTATTTAAGCAAAGGAATATAAAAATGGATATAACAAACCTTAGAAACCCACAAAAGGTATTATATTTTTCCTATGAAGAATATCAGATCCTGCATTAAGTGTCCACGGCAGAACAGCAGAGCAAAAGAGGGCAATTTTCTGGGACTTCTGTATTCAGTAAGGGCAAACAGCCAAAGTGACCATAACACTCACACACACACACACACACACACACCTGCCTGATCAGACTGGTGCACCAAACCCTCACCTGTTGGCTCAGTAAACAGGCTGAAGCACAAGTAATTCAGAACTACTTAGAGAAAAGGAACATGATACACCCTTTCTCATTCTCTGTCCTATGCTTGCACTGGAACCTAATCAAATTTAACCAAACTTTCAAGGCCTCCACTCAAAGCAGTTTTCTCTTACATAAGGAAATTGCTTAATTAACACTTAATTCACTCATATATGCACAGCAGGCTATATGTTTCATTTCCTAAGTTCACATATTGATATAATCCTTCATGATGATGAAGGTGAACGGATTGCTTTAATTTTTTATGGAATACTTAATATAATAATATATATGTTAATAGAGTGCTGCAGGGATGATATATTTTTGTAGCCCACAACCCTGAAATAAGTTAGCATTTTTGCACTTCCGGTTCAATCCGATTCAAGTAAATGTTTTTGTTTTGTTTTGTTTAGATGGATTTTTGATTAAATGCCTGAAGAAAGTTCTGTGGTTGACACTCAAGATATTTTCTCATTTTATTCTACAACAAAATACATCAGTAATAGCCCCTAGTGATTTTTTTAAAGGTTTTTTGGTGTGTTGAAAAAGTCGATTGCTAAATGGGACTAGAGGTTGTCTGGGACATTAAATGTCATCACGTTAATCTTTTTTTTTTTAAGACCGAAAGATTCAGAAGCTGTATAGCCTATGTTTAGCTTTTTACTGCTGCCAATTGTATTTAGGCTTCAAAATTCATATAAGTAGTGTTTATTTATGAGAAACTTTTGTTGTTAACAGAGCTTATTTTCTGCAATAATCCAAAAGCCAATGGGAAAATCCTATTGGGTTTTTGTCAAAATACATTATTACTGCAGGACTCTATTAATATAGGGCAGAAATATTCAAAACAAAATGGAGATGAGGTGAAAGAGACTGTAGGATTAGCCAAATTGCCGGAACTGACAGGTTGGAATTTAATGAAGTCTCTGTAACCTTTGCATCACTCCATCAATTAGTCTATCTGTTTAGAAGCCAACTCTTCAGAACATCCATTCTCCATGGATGCTGGAGCCTATCCCAGTAACTTGAGAGTTGAGACACTGCAATAATGTTTGAGGACTGACATCCAATTATTTATCACAAATTTTAGGGCGTCGTTTTAGCGGTAAACATTTACTCTGAGAGAAAATTCATTCATGGTTATATTATATTGGACATTATCACTGTACTGCTGAGAGCATGAACATATATTCAATTTAACTGAATACATCTCGTGAGTATCTATGACATGTTTAATCCTTAAATGGGTTCTGTTTCGTGGGGGAAACAGACATTTGAGGGTTTGGGGGAGGGCAGTGAATGTGTGGGCCTTATGTATGAGAAAAAAATGCTGAAAAGGGGGCCCTGAAACCACTCGGGTCAAGTGACTTGGTATAAAAAAAACTCTGGCATCCACTCACCATCTTTATGTTAAAGTAACATGATGGCAGCATGCAGTGAGAAGAGCAGTAACATTGAGGTAAACGCTGGCATTGATACAACATATACAACTGTGTATATATAACTGTGAAACTAAAAATAAAAGCAATATTTCAAACAAAAGCATGAAATTGGATTGTTTGATAATGCATACATAAATAATGAGTTCATTGCACATTACGGGTGAAACGTCAAGTATTTTACAGGATGAATTCATCGCAGAAAAAAGCAGGTGGGGAGAAGGAAAAAATGGCTGTACAGTCAACATAGTTGATAATGGAAGAGCACAGCTACACATGCATAAAACATGGCAAAACTGAAGAGAAAAGAATCCTGTATTCTTTAATAACTTGGTACATGTAGCCATTTCAAGCTCAAAAAATGATCAAAAACGGTGTGATTTTAATGAGAAACCATACGGCTATTCAGTACCAGCTGAGCTAATCACTAAAACAGCACTAATACAAAAAAGACACACAATTTTGTGAAACGCACTGAGAGAGTGAGAAAGCAGCTCTTAACGGCCCGGTCGTTAAAGCGGACCGAGCGCCATCTGAAAGCTTCAGAAGGTCATCATCATCATCAGCATCATTAGCGTTCCAGCGCATCCACACCGGAAACAGCACCATCACTTTATATACTCACACAATCACACATCAAACTCACTACACAGGGCCTACAACTTTCCTCACAGATTAAAGAGAGAAGATTTAAGGAGACTTTATTACAGCAAGCTCGCGTTTGTGCTGATATGTCAAGGCGTGGTGCCGAGAACACGAACTGGGAAAAAAATCTTTCATGATCACGTCTTGTCGCCCTAGCGGCTCTTAACAATAATAGTAGCTCAACACCGCGCGAGCTGCTCGAGCTCAACACATCAAGAGTACAGATACACATACACACACTTTATCAGGTTTATTGCTCGAGATCTCGTCCCTTGTTCTTGTGAATGTGAACGTAAGCGCAAAGTGCATTTATAATGGCATCCCATGACTGTTTGATGGCTTAGTGCGAAAACTACGGCACGCGCTGGAATCTCATTTTCATCCATTTTCACACAGTTCTGCTAACCAAGTGTCGTTTATAGGGTGTTTCGGTGCCATTCGAGGCGTTATTGTGTAACGGCTGTAAGTTATAACGTTTCGTTGACTGCAGCCGCACTCTCTCTCCCGCAACTCCCACAATAAAGAGAAATGAACAAAACCCCCCTGCGCTGCCTCTGCGCTTTCACATCCACTCAAATCACCACCAACACAATCTCATAAAGAACGCGAAAAGAGTTCCAAGACACCGCTCCCAAAAGTTCACAAAATGAAGATGAAAAAAACCGAGGTGCACTTACCCTCGTACACACTCCTCCAGCAGTCAAACCCCGATCTTCATACACTTACACACACACTCGACAATTATTTAAATATATATATCTACAAACAGCCGAGCATTTCACCACTAAAACCCTATCCCGCGGATGAATTTACTCCCTTTAGCGCCGTAAAGTTTTGTACAGTGTAACATAAGGAATCTTCGCTTTGTTCGCGTGCATTTGAACCAAAAATACATAAAAGACAGAAACTGATATACAAAACAAGAACTCTTCTTCCATCCCATTCACCGCCAGCTTCTGCGCTCGGCGTATCAATGCGCGCAGAAGAGAGATAATGGGACAGCAAAACCATGCCGTATAACGCACAAAATAACTCGTCCAACAGAACACATTATTCGTCACGTTGGAAATTAATTTAATATTGTCGCAAACCGGGGCGAAAGGATTATTGCCGAGCGCGAAAGAACACTTAGAAGAAGAGAACTAGTTTATGTAACGGTGCGGCGAATTTATTTCACTTTGCCTAAGGAACGGTTGTAGTGCGCCCCCCATTGCCTAGGGAAAAGCCCCGGATGTAAACTCAGTGAAACTCATGTTGAGTGAAGTTACAATAATGTGCATCTGGCGTGGGCCAGGGATATCGTTAGTACAACAGGAAAGAGATTTGCTCACGTATTCAATAAATGACGGTATTTTGTTTAATGTTTTATCCATGATAATTTAAGTCAACCTATATTATATCGTCGCTTCAAGCCGCCAGAGCTGCTTTAGACGCTTTCAAACAACGTTCACACATTGCGATAAACCCAAAAGTGTTTTAAAAATTCATTTAAAAAACATTTTATTTCTAGCAATATTGCATTACTTCATGTATTTAGGATATTTCTGTTGATTTAGCTAAGTAACTGTCTTGTACAAATGCTCTGCTATGCATTACACAATATATGCCCAATATAATGCATTTCCACTGCCTACTTCCTTTCAGGTAGTGTGGAACTGTTTATACTGTTTAGTAGCCTACTGTTTATGCATACTGTGAAATTGTTCTGTATGGTGTCATTTTATATAAAGAGTGATTAGTGAATACAAACTAATTTACCCACAATTAATTTTCTTTATTTGTTTGTCAATCAATACTGACAGAAATGTTGTGGCCAGTTTTCTAGTGGCACCCGTCATGTGCAGTGAACGGTAGGGGGAGACAGAGCGCTGTGTTTGTGAGCGATCGATCCTGCTCTCAGCACCGTTTTCTTTTCTAGGCCCTTGCCTCCTAAACTGGTCCACACTCTCTGTCATCAGCACCACTGAGTCATCGCAGTTCGCTTTGAATTATCACTCTACATAAAAATAACAAGAAGTAGAAGCGTCAACATTTTTATATCCATTTAATAATGAAATACAGAAGAGTGACATCATTGTGGAAAGTGCCAACATAACATGATGAAGCAGTTGAAATTAATATATCAGATGAGAGAACTTTTTTTCAAAGAAAAAAAAGTGATGATTGAAAATGTAAACAAAAAGAGCCGAAAATAATGGCAAACAAGCTATTGATGTGTAAATGAATGTAACCATATCATCGCTTTCCGTGTGTGTTTACTTACAGAGCTCTGATGTTTCTCTGTTTCTTTTCGTAGCACTCTTGGTTTGGAGGCACGAAGAGTTGAGGACGCCTGTGTAGCTGTAACTTTTGACATTTGTCACATTTAATTTATTCACTGATGCGAGTAAGCGGTGAGGAAACTGTATTTTATATTATTTCATATGCCATATAATGGTGACATGTATTTTGTGACTTATTTTATTTATGTATTACTCTATTTAATTTATCTTATTTGTCTTATGTTTTGTAACTGTTAATTGAGTAAATTAAGATCTTGAGAAGCACATATGCTGCTGACGGGGTCGGTTGTGCTTTCTCTTGCTCTTCAAATGAGAGTACTGACTGAAGGGGAGAGAGGTGTATCCCAAAAAAGTTTCATTGTGCTCTGCGTGTTTCTGCAGACCTGTTTCTTCAGAAGAAAACATCCTGAGACCTCCTCTACCCGCATTGTCTTCATTGAAAACAACAAAACACAACCAGAGTAAATCGGCTACATAACATCGATCTTATAATAAAACACAAAATTTCCAGGAGGTCAGTGAAAGTAGTTGTTTACTATTTTGGGATATGCATACATACTGACTGATTGCGTTTACTTTACATAGACATTCCTAGAAGACTTTCTTAGCAAAGTAAGCACAAGAAGCTAGGAATACACAATGCTTGCTAAGGTCCTCGACCCTACTATCCATTGCAAAGCAGTGCATGATGGCAGCCATCAGAATCCTCAGTAGCTTCTTTTTTTATTTTATTTCATCTAACACAATGAAAGATCAGCTGGTAGTCAGTGACTCATCCTCTTCAGCTCTTGTGTCATTGGACCTCATTGAGCAGTTTCCTCTCTGGCTGATTGTGATTGGCTGCTGCGTCTGTGATCTTTGTGAAAGACATTGATAAAGTATAAAAATGGATTTTTGCACTGCACCTCCAGACTAATCCGAGGTGACTGAACTAATCAAGACTCCATTTATCCGGAAGTCCCACGCTGCCAGAGACGGAGTCAGACATTCTTTTTGTCAACATGTGTTTACATAAAGTAAAGAGCAAAGGAGACTCTCAGAGTTAATGAAAGGGCGCTTAGCATCTCGTTCCCAAACAGTGTATTTTACACAGTCATTATGCAGTTGACGCATGACACCCTAACAAACAAAATACTGAAACACATGATCAATAAAGGTCAGTCACAACCAAGACATTACAATTAAACAAGATCTTCTTTCTAACAGCTATCATCTATAGTCATCTAAAGTTTGATTGCTGTTATATACTTTATAGCATTAGTATAGTGTATTTTAGTGTATTATACAGTATAATATGCACTACCATTGAAAAGTTTGAGGTCAGAAAGATTTAATTACTTCGTTTCTTCAGCAAAGATGCATTAAATTGACCAAAAGTCACAGTAAAGACATTTATAATGTTACAAATGATTTCTATTTAAAATAAATGCAAATAAAATAGTCATCAAAGAATAAAAAAAAAATGCATGACCGTTTCCACAAAAACTCTTTTCAACACTGATAAGAAATTTTTCTTGAGCACCAAATCGGAATGTTAGATCATGTGATACTGAAGACTGAAACTTATTTTTAAATTAGAATTATATCTCACAATATTATTGTTTTTAACAGTATTTTTTAATCAAATGCAGCCTTGGTAAGCAGGAGAGATTTTTAAAAATCTTACCAACCCCGAAGTTTTGAATGGTAGTACAATTGTTTGTCACTGTTTGTTTGGCAGTAAATATTCCTCTTTTTCTATTCTATTCTATTTTATTCTGTTCAATTCTTTTTTATTTTATCCAATAGTTAAGTCTGATATGATGTTACAGTTTCCAGATCTCAAACGCAAACGGTGCTCACTCGTGCTGTAATACTACCAAAAAATCACCATAGCAAAATCTCAGTTTGTCAGACAGAGATTCATCTTTCCAAAATCGTTAAAATATTGGCGACCAGGACACTGTGATCCTGAAGACTAGTGTACACCACAAGTAAAAAAAACAAAACAACTTAAAGCAGGGATCTTCAACCCTGCTCCAGGAGAGCTGAGTTCCAACCCTGCTCCAACACACCTGCCTGTAATTATCAAGAAACAACGAACAGCTTGATTAGCTGCAGGTTCAGATTTTCAGATGTGTATGATTGTGGTTGGAGCTGAAATCTACAGGATGGTGTCACTCCATGAACAGGGTTGGAGATCCCGGGTTTAAAGGTTTGCTATAAATGAATAGTGCTCATAAATAGCTGTTGAGATAGTATTTTCACTTGAAACTGAGTAACAGTATTTGACTTAACAATCAGATACACATTTTCCTCTGACAGCTAGACTGCAATAGTGAGAGAGATATAATGTGTGGTGTTAGTTTGAGTGGCACAGAGTAAGCAAAGCTGTGTTCAGCTGCAGAGAGTGCTGTGATCTGACATCTATGCTGAAGCTACTATACTATATAGCTGAACCACTGCTGCCTTAAACCTCTCATCAGGATGGCCACATCTTTCACTCTGAACTCCATTCACTGACCCAAACCCTCTGACCTTACTACACACAGAGAGATAGAATTAAGAAAAGAGATGGTTTCCTTCCATCTTTCTTACCGCAGGGCCCTTTTTGCATACTGTATGTTTCTGTCTCTTATATACCCAGTAATCACTGTCTGCCTGCTTGCTGGCTTTGTTTCTCTTTTTGTATATGCTCATTCTCTTTTTAATTGAAGTATGGTTTGTAGTGTATTTTGTCATGATTGCTGGACAAGAAATAAAACTGTAACAGTTAGGAAAGTAAAAAAGAAAACAAGAATGAATGGTGATGAGGTACACTGTAAAATAAGGAAACAGCTTGCAGCTTTATTGAGTTGAATTCATCTACTTAATTATTCTAAGTAAATTTATTCCTTAAACATAACATGTTATGCAAGTCTAAAAAACTCTAAATATTTTCAGGAATTCTAGTTGTCAAGAATTCTAAACGACTTGCTTTCATTATTCGTGTAGTTTTAAACGACTTATTAATATGTGGTTCTCCACGATTTCTTTATGTAATATACATGGAGATTGAAGTGCTTACACTCTAAAAAATGCTGGGTTGTTTCAATCCAATTTTGGGTCAAATATGGACTAACCCAACTGTTGGGTTAAATTTTGGTTACATTTTTAAATTAACTTTTTAACCCAACAGTTGGGTTAGTCCATATTTGACCCAAAATTGGGTTGAAACAACCCAGCATTTTTTAGAGTGCACTGTTTAAAGGCACGATTTGGTTCAAAAACTTTTTCTTTTGTTATGCTAGTTGAATGTGTGTTTGGAGGACGCGTGGCTTTGGAGAGAGATTTGCAGGGAGAGTGGGATCTTATGCTTTCAAAGCTATTGCTAGCCTCTCCGAAATCACCTACCCTGCCTTTAATGAATAAAAACTACTTCTGAATAGAAAAATAATATTAAGTAAATCTTTATTTTTTTATTTATAATTTTTTTTTTTTTTTACAAGATTTCACCCCAAAAAATATTTATTTAATCTAAGAATTATTTTTATAGTATAGTCTAGCCTGGGGATTATTACACTAAAATTCAGTGGTCTCAAACTCAATTCCTGGAGGGCCACAGGGATCAGGTGTGTTTGATTAGGGTTGGAGCAAAACTGTGCAGAGCTGTGGCCCTCCAGGAACTGAGTTTGAGACCAGTGCAC